GATTCTGGTCTGATCCTTCGGTCTTGTATTTCGCTCGTCTTCTTGGCCGTCCCGCGTTTTTGCAAAGGAAGCACGAATGCCTCACTTCTACGTCCTTCGTCCTTCTCGGCCTTTTTCTTCCTCCCTTCCCGCGGTCGCTTTCCACGCGGCCGCCCCACGCCCTCCCGACGCAGTGCCACATCCGGGTTGGCAGGTAAACATGACCCAGGGGACGTGCCGCGCGGGTAGGCCTACATCTGCCCTCCCTCGTGTGATCTGCCCCGTTCGTCTCCTGTCAGTGGCTAATACATAATTTACTGGAGGAACTTCACCTACTTGGCTACGTTTCCCGAGATCTTGACGTTTGTTTATCTCTCTGTCTCTCTTTTAAGATGTGTTTTATCTTAGTCGCTTTCCTGTTATAGGTCTTACATGTTTTGTTACTTCACTGTATGTTTTTTTTTAAATCTTTTTTTTGCATTTTTTCTCTCTCTTTTTGGTCGCTTTCCTGTTATAGGTCTTGCATGTTTTGTTACTTCATTCTATGTGTTTTTTATCATGTTTTTTGTATTTTATTTCCGCGTGGCGCATTTCGACAGGATGTATTCGCCTACTGTAGAAGCGGCAATAGTTTAGTACCTCGCGTATCTGCCGTGGTTTGCAACTGGGCTCGAGTGGCTTACTGTTTGTTTCAAGTTACACTAATTGTACTTAGGGCTCTCACTTGCTGTTTCGTTTTGGTTCTTTGTTCTTAAGAATATCGCACTTTTGGTTGTTGCTTCATCTACATTCTAAAATAGTGCACTGCAACATAACATGTAAGCAACGTGTTATTCATTTTCTCTTTTTTATTTTACAGGCGATTGGAGCAGAACCAGATCTCCGAGGTCCCCAGCCGCGCCTTCGCCCCCTTTAGGAAGCTGCGTCGCATGTAAGTATGAGCTCGTTGTTGAAAGCTGTCTCTGTTGCAGGGAAGCTGTTTTGTAATTACCGTGTAAATCGTTTATTTTGCCGAGGGAGGCGGGAGAAATGGTTTCGAGCCTTGTCTGAAGATCGATGCCCCGACAATGAAACTAATGGCAGTGGTAATGTCCCGCCATCGGGCTGGAATAGCTGTTCGCCGCCACAATACGGCTTCATCCATACGAATGTCCCGTCGCTTTTTCTCTGATCGGGGAAATAAATTGCCCAGTTCTTGTCTGCTGTCTCTGGCGGGGAGCTTAATTCTCCTGTTCTGAAATGTTCTCGAATGCAAGACCGTGGAAAAGCGTCCATATGCGAATGTGTAGGTGCAAAGTTTAAGGACCAGCGCCACAGGGTCGAGGGAATGGATGCGGCGGCCGTTCCCTTGGGTACAATCCGGCAGGCAGCGCCGAACCCACTTGAGGCTGATGGAGTGCCTGTGGCTGACATGTGGCAGGCATCACTCGCCTTGGTTGCTCCTCTTTCTGGCCCCGATTGCAGCCATGCGCGCTGGCCAAATGGGTGATTAAGCAGATTATACTTTTGTTACAATTCTGTCCTCATTTCCCTCGCACACCTGTCGCCGTGGGTTCAGATGTCCCTTTGTTTTTGCGCGCAAGTTTGTTTTAGCCCATGATGGGTGTCAGCGCCTGGCAAGAGGTCGCGTTACATAATTAGGTTCGGATGTTGATACGGAACGCTGATGCACCTACTTAATTGGTGTCAGTATTGAATTATCGCAAAAAACTATCAAAATACCAATCCGGTTGTTGCCAGAAGAGTCCTAGCATTCGGAGGACGTAAGGAGTTCAACGTCGGCGATAATCCTGACAAGCGATAACGAAGGACTTCCGACAGAGTTACGTCGAGTCGAGGGGGAGCCGGCCGTCGCTATCCACGCCAGCCGTTCCTTTCATCCGAACGTGAATGGGTGCCAAGGGGGTGCCGTTCCAAATCCCCGTGACCAGGAGTAGGCTGTGAAAGGGAATGGAATCCGTGATGTTACCTGTTTGTTTTAAGTGGCGCTGCCCGTAGGCCTAAGGAGGAGGCCGGCCGGGGTCATTGATAATGGAGGATGTTTTGACAGTGACCCGAGGTGAAGCGCTCTGCTATTTCAGGAGTCATTCGGGAGGAGACGACGGGAAAAAACAGGGATCGGAGAAAGTGGCATTTCGCTCTTTGTCTCCTTGCCTGTTCTCCTGCGAGCAGTTCTGCGGGAAAGCTTGCTCATGCGCTCTCTTCTCTCTCTGCTCTCTCTCTCTCTCTCTCTCTCTCTCTCTCTCTCTCTCTCTCTCTCTCTCTCTCTCTCTCTCTCTCTCTCTCTCTCTCTCTCTCTCTCCTCTCTCTCTCTTCTCTCTTTCTCTCTTTCTTCTCCTCCTCTCTCTCCTCCTCTCTCTCTCTCTCTCTCTCTCTCTCTCTCTCTCTCTCTCTCTCTCTCTCTCTCTCTCTCTCTCTCTCTCTTTCTCTCTTCTCTCTCTCTCTCTCTCTCTCTCTCTCTCCTCTCTCTCATCTCTCTCTCCTCTCTCTCTCCTCTCTTCTCCTCTCTCTTCTCTCTCTC